ATTTAATCGAGAACCGTACGCATTTGTCATCTTCCCATGACTGTACCAAATACGTGGAATAGATGAAATGGAAAGAGATTTTGTTTTCTTTTCTTTTTAAGTTTGTTTTTGAGATTTTGAGTCAATGATTGGCTGATGTTTAGGTTTTAGTCAGCTTCAGGGAAGCATGCCATGATAGGAAATGAGATATATCAAATTTCACTTTAATGGCACAAATGTGGCAGTAACCATAATAAAATGTTATATTCAACTTGTCCACTTTAAGGGTTCATCTCAGTCCTACAGGACATCTTAGTAAGGGATGTGATTGAAAGGTCCCACTCCTCCCATAGCACCAAAGGAAAGAAGTCTTTATACATGGGTCTTTCAGAGACAAATAGGAACCCTACTACTAATGAGAGATAATTCTTGAAATGTGTGGAACTTTGTGCAAGAAGATGGATGTGCCAACAAAAGCCTTGTGTCCAGACATAGGAAATATCAGAGTTTGATCAGAGTTTGATGATATATTCAAAATCACTGATTGCTCACTCTTTCTCTTCCTCTCCCTAGCCCTCTCCCCGTCTCATTTCCCTTTGTGATAATTACTCTGGATGTTTGTTATAGGAAAGTAATGAAGCACAAGGAAGACCCCATGCCAACAAAGAAGATCTCTCCTTCTACTGCAGTTTATAAACACATTTCTGTCTCCAAGCTGCTCTGTTCACTGCACTTAGCCTGGTTACACTCTTCTGATTTGATTCAGAGCGAAGACATGAAAAAGGTTTAAGAGATGTAATTTAAAAATGTGTAATTTTATTCTTTTGAAAATTGATATCTCCTTGATAAATAAGGATAAATAGGTAAATTATTAATGTGTCTCCAGAGTAACATTTTATTATTCCATTATTCAGAAAAGAATGAGTTTAGGGTATGTTGCATGATTACATCTTCAAATTCAAAAATTAGCACTAAAAGTCATCTCAACAGGAGGGCTGCTAACTTCCTCAGCTCTAAGTCATAGCTGCCTGTAATTTTAACTTGGCTTTCCATTATATTAAAAAAATTGTTGTGTATCCCTATTACTGAAAAGCAATTGAATTCCACAAAATGACAAAAATGTAAATAGGTAACATTAAGGAGAGCAAAATAAACCACTCAAATATTTCAAAGCACATACACACTCTAAGAGAATTTTTCAAATTAATTTGCTACCCAGGAGCCTAATAAAACATACTACTTAGAACATAAAGTGATAGTAAAAAGAATATACCTCTCTTTATGGTCAACACTGTCATTATGCAAAATATAAAGAGACTTCAATAGTACATTACAGGAAGTGCTAATGCCTTACTCTGCTTACAGCATGACTTAGTTTGTCTGTGCCACAGGAGGTCGTATATACACTTTACGGTTTTTGTTTTATAAGAAACCATTTGTATGCACTTGCTATTAAGCTTGTCAGGGAAAAAATTTTGTTGTAAAACATTCGCAAATTATCTGTGAAGTTTATGCAGGCATTTTTAAAAGCATTGTTTATAAACCAGCAGTACTCTCCATAAATGAGTTCTACAGCTTCCATAGTCTGGATTGGCTACATGACAGCAAACATAGCATTAAAATTTCAGTGAGAATCTTTTTCCTTTGCTTTATTTATTTATTTGCTTAAAATATTTTTATTTATTTTTTGGTATACTGCGGTTTGACCTAGGGCCATTTGCTTTAAAGGAAAGTGCTATACCACTAAGCCCATTTCCAGCTCAACAGTCATTTAATAAAATGCTATGACTTGTTTCACATCACTGACTTAGAATTCAGTTTAGTCATTTGCTTTCTTAAAGTAAAGTATACAATATTATTGAATATATAAATACCCTATATTATTATTATTATTATTATTATTATTATTATTATTATTAGTCTGTAGTGTGGGGGTGCTATGCATATGAGTCAGTCATATCTCCTCTTCTATTTTTACATGGCCTTAGGCCACCTGAATTGTATGACATTCTCCTTTTCCTGATGAGTCATTCCTCTGCCCCTATAAACAATATCTTAAGCTACCATGTATTAAAGGGAATTCTTCTTCTTCTTCTTTTTTCAGGCATTTGCTATTATACTAGTTTAGTGGAATTTGTTCAAGGCAAATTTTATACCCAGATAGGATATATCTCTCTAAGAATGAGGGCGTATCCCTCTAGGTGAAATGGGCTCCCAAAGTCCATTGCTATGCTAGGGATAAGTACTGATCTACCACTTGAGGCCCCATAGATTTCTGAGGCCACAACACTGACACCCACATTCATGGGGTCTGGATCAGTTCCATGTTGGTTTCCCAGTGATCCATCTGGTGGCTAGGAGTGGCTACTTGTTCGGGTCAGCTGTTTCTGTGGGTTTCACCAGCTTGGTCTTGACCCCTTTGCTCATCAGTCCTCCTGCTCTGCAACTGGATTCCAGTTCAGTCCAGTGTTTAGCTATGGCTGTCTGCTTCTACTTCCATCAGCTGCTGGATGAAACCTCTAGGATGACATATAAGTTAGTCATCAATCTCATTATCAGGATAGGGAATTTAAGGTAGCCTCTCCACTGTCACTTAGATGGTTAGTTGGTGTCATCTTCATAGATCTCTGGACATTTCCCCAGTGCCTGATTTCTCTTTAAACCTATACTGGCTCCCTCTCAGGTGGTAACTCTTATTTTGTTCTCTATTCTTCCCCCTACACAAACTTCCTGCTCTCTTATGTCCTCCTCACACCTTCTCATCTCCCCATCTCATTCTCCTAGCTCCTTCTCCCCTCCTCCCATGCTCCCAAGTTGCTCAGGAGATCTTGTCACTTTCCCTTTCAACAGGTGACCATGTTTGTCTCTCTTAGAGTCCTCCTTGTTGCCTAATTTCTCTAGTGCTGTGGATTGTAGGCAGGTAATCTGTCTTTTTGTGACTGTGTTACCTTGCTCAGGATGGTTTCTTCTAGTTCCATCCATTTGCCTGCAAATTTCAAGATTCCATTTTTTTTTCTGCTGAGTAGTAGTCCATTTGTAAAAAAGATATATACAAAATCTGTTATTTGCTTTCGATAAAACTATGTCTTTATTTGGAAGAAAATAAGGTGCTTGAATTATTGTTACAATCAGAAATGGATCAGTATTTTCAGACATACCTATCAAATTCCATTAAATGGTTAATATAATCCCTAGTAGGAATGTGAAGTCAGCTTTTCTTCATAAATAAAATGTGTTCACAGATATTTTGCTTCAGGAAAACAACTATACAAAAACACTGTGTTTGGATTTCATCACTGTGAAACATTGTATTTTCTAAACTAGAAATACTGCTTGTACACACAGTATACTAATAACAAGAATATTTTCTACATACCTATGTTTTTATTTTTATGTTTACAATTCAAAATAGAAAGTATTTTTAATAAATTTATTAACTTTAATCAATACAAAAGTGAAATTGTTGGCTTCTTACTGGATTTAAACTTAAAAGCCAGTACATATCATTCTTACATCAAGTTACTTTTGTACTTCAGCAAAACATTCTACATTTGTAAACATATATTCAACTCAAGTGATTAATATCATATACTTAATGTGGACTCTTTCAGAATCAAATAGGAATTTTTTTTTATCCTCAAGTAGGTACTATTAGAAAAAGAAGACAGACACTTTTTACTTTTGGAAACAGTATATCATAGTCATAAAAAAGCAAAATAGCTATATTGACTCTTATTATTTAATTTAAATTTACAAATTTTCTTCAATAAATAATGAAACTGTTCTACATTTATATTTAAATGCACAAAATTATATTTATTACAGATATTGTCATTTTAGTGAATTTAGAAATATAAGTATTGTAACTCAAAAGATTGTTGTAACCCAATGAGACTTCAAATGAGTTACTGGATTGCCTTTTAATATGCTTAGCAATGTTCTCAGAGTAATATTAATATTTAGCAAACTATTTTATTGATTTATTTTTGCCTTTTGTTTGGACATTGTAACTAAAAGGCACCAAGTGTAAGTTCGCACATGATTTCCCCCTGTGATTTTTTGATGTGTTTTATAGTTTTATGTTTTGTAATTAGTTATAGTAGTAATGTTGAAGTGATACTTGAGAGGTTATAAATTGTTTTTCTCTTTCTTTTCACCTCCTGAAAATAAGAAAGTGTACTTATGTTAACTGTTGACATTGTGATTCTCTTGTGGTGGTTAGTGTTGTTAACATTACAGAATCTAAACTCTGCTAGGACATGAGCTCTTGGGAAATTATCTGTGGGTATCACCTTCATTAGCCTAATTGAGATTTTAAGACTTATCCACTGTGGATGTCATCACTTCATGAATTATATCATAGATTCCATAAATGAAGGAAAGGGAAGTGAGTGGACTCATGGATCCATCCTTTTATGCCATAATTGTAGTTATGAGGTCATAGACCTACTCCCTCATGATCTTGCCTTTACAACTCATTGCCATTCTGTAGCCTGGGACTATGAGTCAAATAAACCTTTCTCCCTTAAATTGCTAACACCAGGAAGAGAAACTAAGTACCTCTATTAATGATTATATATATATGTGTATGCTTGTTTCTGGGATTTCTTTTTTCGTTTTTTGACTCATATGCCTATATTTTATAAACTTTCAACTCATGAACATCAGGTATCTCTTCAGTCAAGAACACATCTTTTTTTCTTTCACCAGAATTTTGAGTTTTCATGTAGATATAGCTAGGCATTTAATTTTGTGTTATTAATAACATTTTTAACATTTCAAATTCAAAATGTTAATTATTACTATCTGAAATAGTTTGTGCCTCTTTTTGTTAAAGATGTTATTTTTATGTCTTTCTGTATCATCTTACTTTCAAGAAGTTGTTTTATCTCTTCTGGATGATACACTACATAAATAACTATTAATCTATGGATATAGACAGATTCATTCTAAATCTGTGTGTGATTAATTTTCTCTTTCACGTTATCATACCAACTTTAACTTCAACTATTGTGCTTTATAGAATGGGAAGAGTATCCTGCATTAAAGATAATGTTGGCTGTAAGTTAGTTTTTTAACTTGTTTCATCTTAAGTTGAATAGATCCTAATTCCTTTTTTGAGAGTATTAAGTAATAAGTAAATATCATATTTTGTACAATGCTTCATCTATCACTTTCCATGTTCATATGAGTCTTACCATTTATCTAGTGGTGAGATGAATTGTAGGGATTGACTTGTGAGTACTAAAATCACCATGCATATCTAGAATTAATTATAATTGCTTGTAATATGTGATTATTTTTGTAAATCACTTAAGGTTAATTTGTTAAAATTCTGGTGAGGATTTTGCATTTAGATCTGTGAATGCAGTTTGCATTTTATTTCATGTTGTTTTTGTTTTTTGTTTGTTTTTTTGTTTTGTTTTTAGACAGGCTCTTTCTATGTAGTTCTGTCTCTTTTGGACCTACCTATGTAGACCAGATTTGCATCAAAAACACACATTTCCCTTCATCTTCCTTCCACACTCTGGGATTAAAGCCATGTGCTATCATGCCTGGCCCAGTTTCCTAGATTTTGTATTAACATAATGATTGCCTTAAAGACTTAGTTCACTTTTGAAGTGTTTTCTTTACTTCTGTTTACTGAAATGATTGAAGACAAATGACATTATTTTCCTAAATAATGAGAGAAGTTCACAGGGGAACTCTTCTGGGCATAGAGAGAGATTATTGCCTCGTCTTGAGCACCCATTTTCCACTATGTGAGTTAAGTCTAGCATTAATCAACTTACCTTCCCAGTAGCTATATGGCATCTCCATGAAAAGGAGTCATAGACACTTCTGCTCCCACAGTTAGCAGTCCCACCTAAACATCAAACAATCCCAGAATATACACAGAGGACCTGGTGCAGACCCATGCAGGCCCCATGTTTGTTGCTTCAGTCTCTGTGAGCCCAAATGAGCCCTGCTTAGCTGATGTGTGGTGCTGAGTTCTCCAGATGTGACCCACCCCGTAGACTTATATTTTTTCTGCTTCTTCTTCTGCAGAATTCTCATAGATCCAAAGGGAGAGTACCAAAGAACACCTCTCTCTTTCTCTCTCTGAGTAATGTCGGACTGTGGGTCTCTGCATCTGCTCCCATCTCTGCCACAGGAAGCCTGTCCGAGGACAACTGGAGAAGGCAACAACTAATGACTGTAGCAGAATATATTAGACACAATTTCATTAGTTTTATTTTATATTTTTAGACCAAAAGTGCTTGATTCTACCTTAGGTCTTCGGGATAACCAGTATCAGTTTCCTGGCCATCTTAATCGTGTTTGGCATGGGCTCCCTCTTGTAGAGTGGGCCTCAAGTTAAATCAGACATTACTTGGTCACTACCACAAGTTCTTTGCCAACATTGCCTCAATACATCTTGCAGGCAGGATATATCATAGGTCAGAGGTATTGTGGCTGGCTTAGTGTAAAGATTTTTCTTTCAGTACGAGCATCAGCATGTTTTTTTTTTTGTTTGTTTGGTTGTGTTTTTTGTTCTTTTTTTTTAAAATCTCTACAGGACCCCCTCAGACAAAAACTCAAAAGAAGGTAACCTAGTTCTGCCACTGGGAGCTTTCCCTGCCTAGAAGAGGTGGCCAGTTCATACTTCATATCCTCTATTATGAGTCCTCACTCACTAAGATTGCCCTACGAGATTACAGGAAGCTCTACACCATGTCCCAAATATCCCTCAATTCCAGATGTCTATCACTATAATTTCTTCCTCCATCCCATCCCCCTATTTTATCCCTTTCATTCCTGCTCCCTCCCACCAAAGTCCGCCCACAATCTCCATTCTATTTCTGCTTACCTGGAAGAGCCATGCATCCACCCCCACCATTCTAGAACCCTCATCTTTACATAAACTGTGGATTATACTCTAATTATCATTTACCTAAAGGCTATTATCCACTTATAAGTGAATACATATCATGTGTGAATTTCTAGGTCTTACTTATCTGACTCAGAATGATATTTTCTAGTTCCATCCATTTGCCTAAAAATATCATAATGACATTTTTTAGGCTGAGTGATACTATATTGTGTATATCTACCACATTTTTTCTTTATTCATTTTTTGGTTGAGGGACATATAGGTTGTTTATGGTTTCTGACTATTATGAATATAGCCACACGAACATAGTTAATCAGGTGTCTTGGTGGTAGGATGGTATATTATTTGTGTATATACCAATAGTGGTATATATGGGTCTTGATATAGGTTGATTACCAATTTTCTGAGAAACTGCATATTGATATCTCTAATGTTTATCCCATTTTCTAATTAAATATTTGGTCTTATACTGAAATTGGCTATTGTATATTGTTCAACTCATTTCTGTGTATTCTGAATGTCAATCTCTTGTCAGATTTACCATTTGAAAGTATGTATCCAATTGTGCCTCTTGTCTCTGAAAGCTATGTTTCGTCTTTGTTGTATTGAAGCTACTTGGTTTGAGATAACCATATTATTTTTCCCTGTGTTTATAAGTTCTAATACTAAAACAAAGTCTTGGCTATATAAATATTTTAAGGAGATTCAACTCCAAATTCTTAAATGTAACATTCCAATCATGGAAATTATAGAGAAAACTAAGTATACAAAGATAATTGATAACTGTGGAATACTTAAAGCAACAAAATAGTCTGTGATTTCTAATTAAATTCAAGTAACTTTGTTTCCATTAATTTAAAAACAGAATCTAAAGTTCACATGAATCACAAAAGGTCCTGGATATATAAAGTAATCCTTCATATAAATAAAACAAGGAATAAAACTGACAATGTAGATTAACAGTAAGCATTGAACATGTAAATGTATAGGTACAAACCAACCATACCACTGAAATAGAACAAGCACAGGGACCAAAGGGAGAGAAGAGGGCACTAAGATAGTATTGGTGCCTATATAGCCAATTTGCTTCCTACAGATGCCAATATCATATTGTGTAGAAAAGAATCTCTTGATTAGCTGGGGCCACATGAGTACAAACAGCATATAATAAAATAGACTAAAAGGAAATGAATGAAGGTAGGGACAAAGAAAGGAGGAAAGCTGGGGGAGGTTGGAATGAAAAAGGACTAAGGGTAAATACTGCTAAATTTTAAATACTAAAATATTTAAAAATTATTTGCATTGATGTATTAGATTATCTAGGCTAAATTTTCTATTTGTGTCTAACAACATATTTGATGAATACCCATATCTCGTGCTGTTTTGATATCTTAAATATAGTAACATGTCTCCTTAAGACCTATCCTGCTTTGAGATCACTTGAGAGTACTGGAGAAATTGCTGCAAAAAGTAGCTGTGTATCAGAAATGTATATGACTCTTTGCCTAATCCAATGATTGTCCCCAAAGTCTGATGTTTATGTTGTTTTCTACTATATGTGTTACTGCAATGCTCTAAGTATAATAAGCCATATACAAAATACACAAATTTATTATATATTTTCAAAGGGCACTATATAGAAGTACAGAACAGCTGGACCGTGGTGCTGCATGCTTTTAATTCCAGCACTCTGGAGGCAGAGGCAAGAGAGTCTCTGTAAGTTTGAGGCCACCCTGGCCTACAGAGCTAGTTCCAGGACACGTAGGGCTGATACACAGAGAAATCCTCTCTGAGAAAACAAAACAAAACAAAGAAAGTATATAACCAATGCTTTCAAATTCTCAGAGACTTCTGTGATTATGTAATCAGAGGAAGTTTAAAATTTAAATGTAAATATATTATTTGTTTGGTGAGATTCATAATCCACCTATATACAATGACCTTATCCTTTCTCCGGGATGCCAGTGCTCTGGGGAGATACCTGACATCTATTAGTTAATAGATCCCTCCTCCTTTGCCTGAAGCTTCTGTGTTTTGAAGTTATAAACTATTGTTTGTTTCATTTCTCCCAACATTTACATTTCTTCCAAATATAGTCTACTTGAGATGCAGGGTTTCACACATTTTTTTTTCAAATTCTATTTTTTAATGTACAAAACCCACTTATTTGTTTTTGTTACATTTTCCAATGTATACTTTAAAATTAGGCTATGCTAAAGTAGGAAAAATTACATTAAAACTTTATTCATGCCCATTTAGTTACACTTGACTTAAAGAATTTCTTTTGAAAATGTTTGTTAAGTTTCTGAATACCATTTAGGTGCCCAAACCAAGTCCTAGAATCCCAGAATAAACAGTTCAAAATGTACTTTTTTAAATGATTTGAAAATGCACTCTTCCTCCAGTTTCTAAAGCTAGTTATATTTTTGTCAAATCATTTAACTATTGCATTGACTACATGATGATGGGAGGTGTCTTTCTGTATATATGTTTCTCTTATTGGGTGATGAATAAACACTGTTTGGTCAATTAGCCAGGAGGATAGGCAGAGCTAGGAGATAAAGAGAATTCTGGGAAAGGTAGGCAGGCTCTCACCAGAATATCGATGCAGCCAAAGGAAAAACAACATGCTGTGCAATTGCCAGGTAAATCACAGCCTGGTGACAATTCATAAATGGATAGAAATAGGTTAACAATTAAGACATAGGTAGCAAATAAGAATCCCAAGCCACCAGCCAACAGTTTTATAACTAATATAGTGGCTCCAGGACCTAGGCAGAACAAGAAAACAGCCTGTTTCAAAATGGCGCACAGCTGGGTGGTAGTGGCACACACCTTTAATCCCAGCACTGGGGAGGCAGAAGCAGGCAGATCTCTGTGACTTTGAGACCAGCCTAGTCTACAAGTGCTAGTTCCAGGACAGCCTCCAAAGACACAGAGAAACCCTCGGAAAAAAAATGGCACCCAACATAGGGCACAAACCTATGATCCTGAGATAAAGTCTCATGCTGTATAAATGAGCTAGATGGACACATGGTACTGAGAAAAGCATCTTCAAAAGTATATAACATACAGTTTATATTTCCAAATGGTGACAAGTACGCTTTAGGCTCCCTTCCTCCTTAGATTGTGACTGCACAAGAACATATTATGGAATCTATCAGAAAATGAGACAGGCATCCACACCACACCAAATGGACTTGTCTACTCAGGAAGCTAGAAACATGGCAAGATGAATGGCCTTGGAAGACTCTAGCATTTTTCAGGAGCAGTGTATGAAGGACAATTTAAGAACAAGTGTACTTCATGAACTGGGGACTTATACATTACCAACTGGGTCAAAGTACACTGAAAATTTCAATGAAAATAGGGTAGAAGGTGGGGGAGACAACTTTGATATCAAAGGCATGCAATTGCATGATAACTTCCAACTCACAACTGTTCGTGGCTTGAGACTAAAGGCCTATATGTAGACATAATGTGTTAATGCAGAGATGTGGCCCTGTAGACAAAGCAAATAAACAAACCTTCAACTGAAATGACCAGCAGCACTCTGTAAGTTCACCAATAAAACTGTTCTTCAATTAAAAAAAAATAAACCCTCCCAACTAAAGCCCTGAGGAAGTAGAATAAAACTCATCAAATTTTTGATCCTAAACCACCTTTAATGAAAAGTTAAAATTATTAAAGAGAAACATTTTCAGTGTCCTTAGAAGAAAATTTCTTTAAAACATAAAGGGTAGTTGATCATTTTTTTATAAAATTATATTTTAAAATTAGAGTAGTTTATCCGATTATATTTTAACTAAATTGAGCAAATGTACACCTATAAATTTAGCACTATCATATTGTTATATTTCTTAAAAACATACATTTGAAGGGTGAGTTATTCCAATGTTCTTGTTAATAATCAGTATCATTTTAAAATTTTATACCTACCATAGTCTTCTAAATTATTTTTATACATCTCAGAATGAGTAATGAATCTTTAATCTATGGCTATGCAAACATTTTTGAAAAATAACTTTCAGCTCTTCTGAAATATAGTTTGTAAATGTCAGAGAATTCACAATGTTATGTTACCTTCATATTGAAGACAAATTTCCTGAGAAATGTGTTTATTTTGGGATTCTTTATTTCAGGTTTTTGTGACTAATTTTCAGTATAAATTATAACATACAAATAAAGAGATATTTTGACTGAAAACAAAGCTTGTTATAGTTTTCTAAACTACTTTGAGAAAATGTTAGAATTTACACTGGGATATTCATAGGAAATTCATTATGTACTATGTCTTATTTAAACACACACACACACACACACACACACACACACACACACACGAACAAACATATTCTGCCTCTAAGTAATAGTAGTAAGTTCAATGCTATAGTATATTTTCCTGAGATACACTAGTATAATTTCTCCTAACTGGAATTGTTCACAAACCCACTGAAAATAAAATAAAAGGTTATAGTATAATTTGTTTCTTTTATGCATCTTTGGAAATGTGTGCATTTTAATATAACAAGGATTTATCATTTTTCAATATGACTGAATCATTTCAAATTCTAGGGAGAATCAATACTTTATTATCCATCAATGTTTATTTCTATAATGTAGCATTGTTTTTAAATGGCCTATCCTTGGGAGAAGCCATTTAGAGATAAGAGCTAAGGCTCTTACCTCTGAGTAGAATAAATACATCTGAGTTAGTTCTTAGACTACACTACATTTACATTGAATGACACGGTCCATCTTTTCAATGAATTGCATATATCTTAGGAAGCATATGCAATCTCTTTTACCAGTTGGAATGAAAGGTTATGTTTTTAAGGGAGCAAATACTCATGAAGATGAGTAAAAGCCCTTGTATGAATAGGCAAGCTGCAGACTAAGTACTTTAAGCAAATTAGCAACACAGTGGAGACATTGTTATATGTACCTATGGTGAAGCCATATCTTCCAATCTTCCCTATAACTCTGCTATTGTCTATTGCCCAAATAATAATTATACTCACTACCAAGTATATAGGAATTAACATTTTTGAGGTCATACTGTTTCATTTTCTCTTCCTCCTTCAACATTTTCAAATTTTGAAATAGAAAGTTAAGCCAACATTTGAAACTGTATCCTTTGGGGAGTGTAATTAGAATTATGAAGTTACTAACAGATTTGGAATGAAATGTAAATTACATATCGTGTTTTTATGTCCATATTAAGAAAAATATAACTCCAATAATAAGAAAGAGTAGATTTTAGGTTATTTCTGGTGTATATTTAGATCTGGTAATAACTTGCAAAAATGTAGTTACATAAAAATTTTTCACTCTTAATCACCTGCTTTCTTTTTCATTGCCATCAGATAGTTTCCGATTCTTTGCCCTGAACTAGTGCACCAAAGAGTATTAAGAACCAAGAATTCTATAACAAAATCAGTAAGATGCTTTGTGATATTGTCACAATGTAATTAGCAAGGTTTGTAAAACAGTATAAGAATTAGTTTGAACTCCTAATGTAGGGGAAATGCTGACCACACCGCGTGAAGGCTGGCACAGGTGATACTGACCATGCACACTTGGGCATTATTGTGGGAAATTACCTATACGGAGTTAGGTAGAAATACAAGGGTATTTAATAGGGAAAAGCCTTACTTACAGAGTGACCTAGCCAGCCGGCGAGGCAGTAGCCTGTACAGCCAGA